CGTCGCGGATTCTTCATCGCAGACAGTAGCATAAACAATAGCGGAAACGGATAATTAATGTACAATGAGTCGCAGTATCTATAGGATACTGTCACTATGATACTGCAAACTTATCGAGGATAATTGCCCGTTCGTGCGCCGGCGTACGATCAGTGACGTAATGAACGTCTTGTAGGCCGTCGGTCAGCTGCTCGCAACACTTGAGCTGGAGCCGCACACAGGCCAGAGGTAATCATAAGGCGTCCGATGATGAAACCAAATGACCCACTGTCATGGCAAGGAATATTTGGAGTCGTATATAGGATCTGGTGCAGTTGCGGTCAAAGCAACTACGACGGAGAAACTGGAAGACCTCTCACGACGCGAATTACCGAACACGCGGTAGCAGTGTGAAGGATTGAGGACAATTCTCAAGTTGCCGCCCATTCGACGAGACCTGGCCACAAGTTTAAATTTGATGAGGCCGAAACTCTCGCGAGGAGTAACAGTCGTGTTAGCCGCGAATTACTTGAGTCATAGTCCACGGGCCCCCAGTCTATAAAAGAATGCGACGACCTGCCAAATCCATGTTCGGTGCTGATGCACAATTTGGCCAAAGCAAGTCGCCACTTGGGGAACGCACAGGTCAACGTATCATCCAATGTAAACGCCGGGAAACCAAATGGTCGAGCAACCATCACGTTTAATTCCACTATGTGTGATGAACGTTCAGCAGGCACATGAAAACACCCCAAGGGCGGTTGACAGGAAATGACGTATATCCACACTAACTGCCTCCTTTTCTTCAGGGTGTAGCCCGGGTATCAGCCAAAAAATCCATCCTATTTAATTTACCAGCTGAGAGATAATCACACGTCAGCAACTCTGTTGACAGTTCGTAGTGAGCCTACCCAGCGCCAAACGCTAACTTCTCGCGTCTGCTAGCACGTGCACACGCACCAGTGTCTGCTTACCCCAATCTAGTCTGGCTAATCATCTCCCTGTGGCTGACTCAGAGATGACCACGCTAGAGACGTTATGATGACTCCCGCGCTCTCACACTTTGGACGCCGGGACTCTTGCGGGTGGTCGTGCAATTGTCCTCCTACCTATTCTCTACTAGTTCGGTACAGAATATGCTAGTCCTCCCAACTGGCATTTAACTCCTTCTCTCTCCGGGTCT